CATGAACGAAGATAGTAGTGGCTCTGGAAGCTCTATCCTTGCAGAAATATCGAACGGTGTGGCGCGGTGGCTTAGAGGAAAATAGGCCGGCTTTGAATTCCGTAGACGCGGGTCTGAATCTGGAGAAGGGGCAATTTTTATTTTATAAGCGAATTCCATTGAGAAAGAAATTTATGCATCGTTGCTTCGTGCAGCCAACATGAAAAACGGGTACGAAATGCTTGACTTGCGACTAACCTGGACAAGCAGGGTGCTCTGGTGTCATCACACTAGAATAAGCGAGGTGTACGGCTATGCTGTCCGATGCAAGCGCCACTTGTAACTGCACTTCTCCCTGACTCACCGGATAACCGCGTATTCAAAGTGATAGACAGCAAAAGGTGTAATCCCTTTTGTCGTTATTGTTTTAATTGAAATTTTGTTGGTGATCTACCAAAGACAAACTGTCTATGACGCAGACAAGCAGAAAATTTCATTTATTCAATTGACATAAACAATCAATTATGGATATTACTTGGTCTTAAAAACGATTCAAAGCCTAGACAAATTTGGTTTAATTTCAAGTTTACGGAACCAAAAAGAGTGTTCATTTATAAGAATACATCGTGCGATAGAAAGGAAACACCGTTCCGGGATTCATAAGCTTCGTAACTTCAAATGGAGATCTTGTCAAGGCCTCGAACCGTGTCTGTAATAATCTCATTTGTTGTTGAGGACGATACTTCCATGAAAACTCCATGACCGATGTACAGATCCAATCCATAACTTAACCAGTCAGGACGATTAATGACAGGCTGCTTAACCCTCGTTTTTCTAACTTCCATTTCAGTTTAGGATGCGCTGAAGAATGTGCAAAAGCGTCCGTAAGACATGATCCGGAGAAAAAGAACTAGTAGAAGGTCATGAAATGATGGTCTGGTTAATGGCTATTAAATGTTTAACTGGAGACTACTGCATATGTCAGTGTTAAAGCGTATATTGACATGGGCCTATATATACCTACCCTCCTCTGTATTTTTATAGATATGTGATCGGTGTGAATCAATACATAAAGTACTCTGTGCATGCTGAATAGCTCTAGGTTGTCATGGAGCACTGTTGCTAGGGCGACCGAAATTTTGTCGTGTAACGCTGCACTTTGTTGCCATGCTACGGCGAAGAAGCACGAAATGGTACTGTTGTTTAAGTCTCGAAAACGCCTGTTCAGAATGGCTTATTTTCTATTGGACGTCGTTGCATGGGTATCA